CGATGCCCTTTCCTCTGGCCATGCCAATGCAGCCGTGCCTTGCTCACAGCCATCAAAATGCTTCTGCAGAGATGGTTTTCCTTGTCATCGTCTCCTTTTGCAAGGCACACCGCCTGCCTCTTCTGCACGCTCGGAGCTGCTCATCTTCATTCTCAAGCCCCTTCTTGACACATCCGCGTTCACCCTATCATCTCACTTACCGCAAAGAGACCAGCTCCTTCCTCTAGTCCACCCACATGCCAGCTTGTCAGTCCCTGTTTGAAATGATAACTGGCACTTCTTTCCACAGTGCCCTGAAATCTCGACAAGGCTACCTCCTCATCCATTTTCCCAGCCCCAAGCCTGCTCAAAGATGGCAACAGTGAAGCCGGTGAGTGCCAAGATCTCTGCCTGCTGTGCCCACTGATGTCATCTTGCTGCCTCCCAGCCTTCCCCGTCTATCTGAACCCAGCTCTTGAGTCTTGTGCTTTTCTCAGTCCGAGACCCCTCTGAGGTGGGGAGCGGGTGTGTACAGCACCGAGCACAGGGGGGTTCTGGGCTGTGCCTGGCACCCTGGGCACTATGTTAAAAGGAAACAACAGTAGTCCATCTTCCTGTATTACTCAGGCCATAGACTTTCTAGTTATCTTTTTTCCAGGCAGGCATCCAATCTTGATTTGAAGATGTCAAGGGATGGAGAATCCATCGCTTCCCTTGGCAGTCTGTTGCAGCAGTTAATCACTATTAATCTGTTATTTCTCATTTGAATTGATCTCTTTGTAGAGCAGTAATTTCTGTCGTTATTTTAATAGGCTGTAATTCAGAGTTGCCAGACATTTCACGCACTTTGCCAGTCCTGAGGGAAGAGCTTGGGAAGAGTCTGGTTTTGGGGAAATCAGGAACACTACTGCACTTGGACAATGAAGAATGGTGCATGTACAATATACGACTATATGTACAGACCGTGAAGGGGTATCTGTCACAGTGCGCTTGGTCTGCTTTGTCTCCTATGACAACAGGAGGTGAACGAGGGAGGAAATCTATTCTGCATGCACTCTACTGTATACGAAATTAGTCCTGTACTGATTCGTGCTAGTGCCCAATCTGCTAGTTCACTAGACAGAGCCAAGAGAGCCATTCCTGGCACTGAATATTGCACCACTTTGACCAAGTAATGGCACCTTAGTACCTCCACTTCCCTATCTGTCAAATGGGGATAGTCATCCTTGTCCACCCTTTCAAATAATTTAAATCTATGCATGCAAAGTAGCATTGAAGCACCTAGTGTTGTAACTGTTAGCCAAACTCATATTCCAGCTGCAGCATCTGACATCACCTTACAAGCAATGGTTTGCATGCCAGCGCACAGTTCATGGGAATATTTGGCTGTTTCATTAGGGACAATAACTGAGATGACAGAAGATGTGCTTATAAATGAGAACTGAAATACTGGAAGACTTATCCATACCAGAACGTACGATCTTTTAGTGCCCCCAGAGGCTGGACTCACAAAGGCCTAGATCCTCAAATGTATTTGGGGAAGTAAAGCCACAGGATAGCAGCCCCTCAGCCTACATCTCACACTGGAGAAGCACTTGAGGTCTGGGATCAGCTTTGCGCTTGCAGTAATGAGCACCCCTATTTTTGTGCTGCTGCAAACGGAGAAGATACCGGCGCAGCAGGATTGCAGGCACCAGAATGATCTATGCATGCCAGGGTGAGTCAGAGCACTCAAAGGACACCTTCCTGCACTGCCTCGTGCTCTGGTCCCCTCCTGTGTGGGGAACGCAAGACTCGAAAAGCCTGTTTCATAGTCTGTTATTATCTCCGAATATGTTTCTCTTGGCGGCAGATGGAGCGATTGCTTTTAATATAGGTCCAAGCAGGAAGCTTGTCATTCAGTGCAAGGGTACGGGTGCCATTTCTTATAGCCCAGTCTCCAGATGAAAGGGAGAAATGACAGCTCCAGCAACGCGTCGGCTAGGGGACGCTCAGTGGGGCAGTATTCTCTAAGCCTTTCACGGGAAAAGCCGTGTTTAAGATTGCTTGATCTCTTATCCCTGGCCTGGTGGCATGTTTGGTTCTGTTATGCAGAGACCCAGAAGCACGGGGGCAAGACAGTCTGTTGTGTTACAAATGGTGAGAAAAGCTGTATCCTTCTCCCTTCCAGCCCTTTTCAGGACAACAGGAATAAAGCTGGGTGCCAGCCTTGAGCAGGCCTCGGGGACCAAAGGCATAGAGGTGGACCAGTCTGGGATATTCATGAACCCCCGTGCACTGCCCCTGCAGCCAGATACAGCATGGTCATGAGCTGCAGAAGCCTCCACCATGCCTTTCTGCCAGAGGGAAATTCAAAGCTTTTCCACAGGCTAAAACCATTAAGTGAATTTGTGCAGCAATGGAAACACACAACCGAGTCACTGCAATGTAATTAAAAAAGACTTTTTGACTCTTTATCCCCCATACAATATAAGCTTTTATTCAAGGGGTTGAATTACTGCACGGTGCATGCCATGCTGTTGTTGCTGTGTTACCAGGACTCTCGGCACGGATCGGTGAAGGCACTGGGAATGCAGCATCATATGTAGCTCCATTAGCCTCAGATGTTGTGGAGCTTTTGTCAGCCAGAAGTTCAGAACAACTCAGCCAACTGGGTGCTGAATGCATTGGGAATAAGGCCCCAACTGTGGGTGCTGAGCATGGGGGGATATGGCACTGGATTACACCTTTTCACTTAATGTTATCCTAAGATCTGAGTCTAAGCATTAAAGATCCCACAGCACCTGGCACCAGGAGGGGGAGGGATAGATCTGGATGTCTCCAACTTAATTCATCTTATCCACACTCCGACTGCTGTTTCATCTGGACTCATATTGTCCCTAATTTACCACTCTAAACCTGTTGCATGTGATTGCTGCACACTGTTACAAGCGAACATGCACCTCCCCAGAGGTGGCTGCCTTTTAGTAATGGGCAAGCATTACCATTTTATCACCATCCCGGCAAATTCAGACAAAGAGAAGAAAGTGATTTCCTAAAGCCACATGAACAGGTACTTGTGGGTCCACATGGGACGACGGTGAGAGATTGCTGCTTGGAAAGGGGACTATTCACTCCTTGGGAAAGGTTGCCATTTCCCCCTTTTGTCTTCAGCCCAACCTGGGACAAAGTGTCAAAATATTCACTTTGTGGGTGGAATGACAAATTTTGGGGGGGAAAAAAAAATCAATTGGGAAATGTCTGTGTGAAAAACATCAGTAGTTTGTCACAGTGTTTTGTTGCAACATTTTGCAGTGAAATAGCTCATTAAAAAAATAATCAATGCTTTCCTGTGAAACATTTCCAAGCTTGACTAATCCTTACCCATTTGATCAGATGAGCTCCCACCATGAGAGGTGAGACCACAAGAGAGCTCACCCATGGCAGAAAGGGATTGGCCAGAAGCAGAAGGAAGCTAGATCCCCTTGGGAGCTCGGTGCTGCTTGGTAGGAGCTCACGACAGCCTTGCTCCCATCCCAGTGCCGGGACTGGAGGAACCAGAGGCAGATGGGGGAACCAGTCTGGCAAAGACCGTGTCCCGTAGGACCTGTGCCTGCCCGCACCCATGTCAGCTGCAGCTTTATTTAAACATGAGCGAAGCTGGTTGGGATCCAGCCCAGGTTCCTCCCCAAGGTACTGTGCAATTTAATTTCAGACCTATGCTCCAGGCTCCAGGCTAGCCCAAGAGCCCTTGCTAAAACCCCACATTAACTCTAGCTACAGGTTGCACAGCTTGGTTCCCAGGAATTGTTCAGCACCCTGAGCTCCTACAGAGCCGGGACACCTGGGTTCTCTTCCCAGCTCTGCCCTTGACCTGCTAAATCAGTCAAGGTGTTACTTAACTGCAGTATTTGCTCCTCATAATCCGTGGACCACCACTGCTACCTGTCTTTATGCAGCCTTAGATGCATGCCTCACAACTCTGCCTCATCCCAACCATCTCCACCCATTGCACAGGCATGTGGTGAAGCTGGCTGAACCATCCCGAAGGGGCTTTAGTGAGCACCTCTCAGACAAAAGGGGCTTCTAATATGCGCACGGTCCTATGTCCTTGTGTCTCAATCAGAAATGTCAGCCCACCCCAGAACACAGACCCCTGAGAAGTGCCGTCATTGCCATTCTCAGAGGGGAGGGCCTGATAGCTCTTGATCCTATCAGGCAGCATATTTCTCAGCTGAGCAGCTGGGTGATAAGCCACACCACTTTCTTCCTTCAGAGTATCTGTTTGGGGGCTTCATGCAAAGAGAAAGGACTCCGTGCTTGGAGCTGAGCTTGCTGAAAGCAATTCCAGCACAGCCACTCTCCTGCCCATTTAAGACCTCCCCCCCCCCAAAAAAAGAGAAAAAAGGTGCAAACAAAACTTTTGTTACCCAGAGCAAAGGGACTCACTTCAGCAAGGCCACAAGTTCCCTGCTCCTGGCTCCAGTCACACACCACTCAGGCTCAGGGCCAAGCCACACACCAGGGGAGAATCAACTAATTGCCCACAGCTGGGCCAGCCTTGCTGTGGGGAGCTTTCTTCTGGTCCCAGAAACGATGAATCTCTTCCCTGCCCACTCTTAGTAAAGGTCTGGAGACCCCAGGAGGTTTGTGAACCATTAACAGACCATGATGCCCCATAGTCCCCCCCACACTTGGACCAGCATCAGGAAACTCCATCCACATGGGCAGGCTGCAGGGCAGCACCTTTACCTGCCACTTTGTGGGCCAGAGCAAGCAGCAGAACAGCCTGCAGGTGCGTGCCAGAGTAACGAGGCGGTCGCATGACCTCAGGAGGGTCCTGGGATTGGAGGAGGGGGCTGAGCAGCCTCTACTTCAGATCCAAGTCCTCAGGGCTGCGGCTGGTAGCTGGGGAGGTGCTACTGGGCTGCTTGGGAGCACCTTGGAGGTTAAGGCAGGAGGCTCTTGGTCCTGGGTATGACCAAAAACTGCACCCTGCTGGGGAAGGATGGCCTGGTGGGACTGCCGGGGGCAGGGCAGTTCCCCAGAAATGCCAGGCCAGTTGCCTCCCCAGTGAAAGGCGGGTAGGGGCGCCTTATAACCCCAGCCCCCACTATCCAGTGGGAAGTAGAGGAGGCAGTGGGGCAGGCATGCCTAAGGGGCAGCACCTGAGTCCATGGGGTGTAAAATCCTGGAGGGAGTGGGGCCAGGCATGCCTAGGGGGCAGCACCTGAGTCCATGGGGTATAAGACCCTGAGGCCCCAGCGTAGGGGCAGAGTTTTGACCTCCATGGGGGGTGTTGGATGCAGAGTAGGGTTGCAAGGGGCAACCTGAAGGACTGCACAAAAGATGTATTTTGAGAGAGCCCCAGTGAGGGTAGTAAATTGGAGGAGAGTTAGGGACCAAAGCCAGAGCTGAGCCTTAGTGAGAGGGTACACGGTGCACAACTGAGGATACCTGGGCAAGCAGAGCCAAAGGCCAAGGACAGCCTGTAAGGGGCTGGGGAAGTCATAGTGGGTAGTTTGGTGCACGGTGGTGGTGAGCTCCAAGCAGGGAGTGAGAGTCCCAGGTGAGACCCTGGAGCACGGGTCACGGTGAGGCCCTGTGCCCTATGGAGGCATAGGACATGGTAAGGGAAGGTTGGAGCCATATGTAAACCCCTTGGCATCGGGGCATTAAAGGGGCAGCCTCCTGCGTATTGCATCAGGTTGATCCCAACAAGTCGTGGTAGGAAAGACGGGCAGACTGCCTCAGACAGAGGGGTGGCTGGTATGGTGACTTGCCACGAGTTGGCTCCTGTCGTCACACAGACTCTTGAACCTATGCAGAAATCCAGTTGCAGAGCTGACTAGACCCTTGGTCTAGATTTGCACTGGGACCCTAGAGGCCAGCTCTTCAGAAATGTAGGCATCTCAAGGGCCACAAAGGTGCCTGAGGGTGGAGTTTCAAAGGCACCTCTGTGGTTTAGGCTTCCCTCTACCATGGAACTCATGTGATTTAGGTACATATCTTTGTAGACTTCTGAGAATCCCACAATATCCTTCTTTCTGCCTATAAAGGCACTTAACTACCTTTAAACAACTGGACAAACACCATAATTCTGCATCCAACTTAGTCAGGATGAGCCTCTGTGTCCACTCACACAGCGCCACTGACTTGATGGGACTCTACAGACACCTGCTGAGCAATTTTTTAGGATTGGGGTACTCAAGGCAAATAGCTATAGCCCGTTCCCAACCCCAAGGCCGTCTCCTATTCACTTTTTCAGGAAGGGTTAAAAGACCAGGCCAGTCCCAAGGCGGAAGGCACAATTCACAGCTGTGTTTCTGTATTTCTCCAGGTTTGAGGGGAACCCCACTTATCCCTTAATTCTGAACACTAATTCTTGGCAGGAAAGTTTTCCAGTAAATGGAAAATATAATCATTGCAATAAAGCCATTGATTTAAAATATCCTGAAAGTGGCTTTAGAAGAGAGCTCTTTTATCTAGAAGAAAGAGGCAGAAGATGATCTAATGGCTAGAGCCTGAAGCTTGACAAATTTGGACTATATATAAGGCACATAAATGTTTAACAGGGAAAATAATTAGCATTAGAAGGATTCATCTAGGACTGTGATGGATTCTCTGTTGCTTGATTCCTTTTAGTCAAGCCTGGAAATCTTTTTTTATAAGAGATGCTCTACCTCAACCAGATGTTATGAGCTAGCTGCAGAATCGCTGGGTGCAGCTCCATGCCCTGTGTTATGCAGAGAGTAGGACTAGTAGTTGATCACAATGGTTGTTTCTGTCCTTAACAGCTATGAAACTATGAGAAGTTTGTGAAAAATAAAAAGTTTTTTATTAGGAAGGAAACACTGTTTGTGACAAATTTAGAAAAAAAATGTGAACAGCTCCCGCTACAAGCCAGTTGCCAGCCCGACTGATTCAAACCTGCACAACAAAGCAAACATTCAGGCCTTCTCCTGCCAAAAGATATATGCCGTACGAAGCTATCATGTACTCAGTAAAGTTTATTTTCCAATCTTGGCTTTGCAGCATTCACGATACATCTGTAATATAAGCCTTAGCAAGAAAAGAGCACATTCACAAAATAGTCTGTGTCACATCTGAAATACAAAAAATTGAAATCTTTATAAAACATTCAGACACAGGATTGAGAGATGGATATAATCTTTTATTCTTCTTCTTTTTTTTTTTACCTTTCTATTTATTCCAGAAAAACTTCCCGTTTAAAAAAAAATCATTGCTTCTTTCGGAATAAATCTTTTAAAATCATTTCTTTTAAAATGCATCTTCTGTTTGTACAATAATAGTTATAATATATTATTTGTATTTGCAAATGAATCACACTGGAGAACATTCACAGTATGGGTAACCCGGCAGCCTGTATATATTTTTTTTCCCACTCCAGGAGAAACAAGATGCTGAGGATGAAGGCGGCGGCAAGGAACCCAGAACGTGGGTTTCTTAACATTTGTGCCTGTTAATACAGGACGTTGCGAGCGGGGAACTCTGCAGGGCAATCACGATGCATTCAGTACAGGACTTTAGAGTACAGAAACGGAACAGAGATACGACACAGCTGGAGCAGGACTTGTCAGACAAAGGTCCCTGGCCTTCAGCTCGCAAGAGCTTGTCTGTTTTGACCCTAAATCTCAGAAAGAGCGGACTGCACTTACCGAATCCACTGGGCCTCGTTTGGCTCTGACGTGCACCAGTGTAAATCCAGGCTTTAGCAGAGCGAGTGATTTTAGCAAAGTCAGATTTACAATGATGACACTGAGCTTATTCTGGCCACCCTGTGCTAATGCAGGGCTGGATGAGACGCCTTGAATACGGCTGGGGTTGGCACAGGTCCCTAGGGGTTAAGAGACCTGCTTCAAAGCCTGGTGAGCTCAGGGGGAAGGCTTCCCAGAGTCTCCGGTGTGCACCTCACCAGGCCCTATGTACTTTGTCTCACGTCCGTGAGAGAAGCCACCAGGAGTTGGCTTTGCTGCCAGGAATTATCCGGCCGTATTGGTTTCGACATGGGTCCTTGATTGTTGGGACAACTCCTGCGGGTAAAGCTGGCTCTACCGCGGAGGGCTGCAGGTTCAGGCATCAAGGGCAGGGGCAAAGCTGTCCTATTTGGGCAGATATTTGGCTGGGGTGATATGACCCCGGCACCCGTTCCTGCAGGGGTAGGACTTGATGATCTGTTTAGGTCCCTTTTGACCCTAAGCACTATGATTTGCCTTTCATCACCCTGAGTTATGACCCACGGAGCAAGAGCAGGCTCCAGCCAAGGGGTCTGGTTTCATGTCCACACACAGGGATTTGTACAGCTGCGGAGGTGATAGTATACCTCGTTCTGTAGGGATAGGCCGTTTCCACCTCTCGGTTACCTTCTTGCTTGTCTGCTTTTACCCTGAGCCTTAAATGACCCCCTGCTCCTGTTCTAACCCAATCTCCATCGCGAGTGGACAAAAATCATGAGAAAAACGTGCAGTTTGGAAAACTAGGAATTTGCCGTGGCTGGTTTACTACCTTGAGCCACAACAGGGAGCAAGTAAGTCTGTAAAACCTGACATGCTGTAGCTGTGCTGTTTAAAATCTCGATCTAGATCTGGAGGTGTGTCAGGCCAAGACAGGTCCGTTTATGCGGGGTGCGGAAGGCAATGACTAAGTCTATAACGTTTTATTGCTGCCCTGTAACCTAGACATTAATAGTGACTTTACAGCTATCCGCTTTCCTGGCAAGTAACTATCAGCTCATGTGATAGGTGAAAGCAGGCTTTTAAAGCAGTTCCACCAACATGTCACTCTTGGCCACGCCTGATCAAAAATGACAACAATTTCTGGGAAAAAAGGCAACTTGTCCCCCCAACAGCTCTGCTGGAAAGTCTTATTTTGAAAAAATGTCAACTGCTTGATTAGTTGTCCAACAAGCAAATCATTTCTAACACCATCCAACAGTTTCAGACAGTTCACAGGAAGTTAAAGCATTTTCAGCCCACTTGGCTTTTCCCCATTTACTCCATGCACAAGCTTCACCGGGAAGCATCAAAGCCATCAGGTCTGCTCTCTGTTTAGAGTCCATTTCAGCTCCTGGTGCTCAGTGCTGCTGCCTTTAGGGATGTTTAACTTCACCGATTCAAGTTCATTGAGTCAGAGAAAGTCTTACGACGTTTATTGTTTGGTTATGCAGGAGGGGTGGAAACCTCTTTAAGGTCTTGGTTTTACCTACTGGCAGTAAAGGAGGGGAAGGGGCGGAGTGACAGTCCCACAGGGACTAGGTTTACATGCTAAGAACCTTCCTAAGCCACTTCTGGATTGACTCTAGACTAGGACAGAATAAAACAGAAACCAGTCATGGTCACAAAACCCTCTCGTGCTCTCGTGTGCTGCATGCCCAATACTGAAATTAGTAATTTTACTGCTGTCAGTGGAGCTGCTTCTGAGCTATACCTTGCTAAGAGAGAAGAGCAGCAACCTGGCTTGATCCATTCCCACAGTGGAGCTGGAAGTCCCAAGACCCAGAGTCATCAATCTAGTGAATCACAGACTTGAACTGGGCCAGGCACTGGCACAACCAGGTTACAGGACCAAGCTACCTCTCACTGCAGCAGACAAGGGGTGGTGCAAAGCTTCCTGGCAAAACCTCTTATCTTAGTTCTTAAATATAGGGATTGCAACCTGTCTTTGAAAGCAGTGAGTGGCTCCCTGTAAGTGTCATGCTTGGAAAATGACAGTGAACCAAAGGTTCAGCCTTGGAAATACGAATGCAGCGCTCACAGGAACCGAACTGGGTTCAGCTGCCAGAGGAGAAAGATCCTCAGCTGGGGCCAACTGATGCAGGGGCCAGATTTCCAAAGGCATTTGGGCACCTGAGCACGCAAGCATATACGTACATAACTGGATTTGCAAGGCAGGGGCTAAACTCCACTGACTTCCACTGCAAGTTGGACAGCTGATTTGCTTAGGAGCATTTGCAAATGCCACTAAGTGCTCCTCTGCCTGCACAGACTCTTTAAACATCTCTGCAAATCTCACTGCAGCTCCAGGAACTTCAGGGAGGCCCTGACGAGCTGCGTGGCTGAGGATCTTGCCTAATGGCTCCACTCGCAGGCCATGAGCAGCTGGAAAGGCTTTTACAGGCAGCGTGTGTGCAGGGACCTCGGGATCGTGCAAACAGGACTCAGCCAGCCAAGCCCTGCAAATGAACAAGCACCAGGGGCTTATAAATCAAGCCCTGCTCAGGGGCGTGCTAAATATTTACACTGGCTATTGCTGTACTGAACAGGGACAAAATACCCACCGCACTGCCCGGGAACAAAAGGGGTTATCTTAAGCTCACCCTGATACCCATGTACCAAGCTAATAAATAACAGCGTTCTGACACCGAGGTCTCCTTCAGGAAGGGTCTGCGGGGTACACAGAAGAATAAACAGCATGCAGGTTACAGGACTAAGGAGAATATTTTTCCTTTACCAAATGACCTTGAAGAAAGCAGTGCTGCTGGGCCTCGTCTTTAACCTTTTGTCCCAATCTGCAGCCACATGATGCCTGCCTTCCAGGCAGTGATCTCACCTCCCTTACTCCTGCTGCACTGGTATTTTCAATGCTGAGCCTCTTTTTTGAGTGGGGACTGAAGGCTGCACCAAAAGATGCCTATATGTGTTGCAGGCAGGGGGATCTGATTTTCAGAGGCAGCAACTGGAGGTGACGGGACCTGTTGGTGATCAGAAACCAGAGTGCCAAGTGCTGGCGTGGGGAACATGCACCATGCTGGCTTTGTCTGTGTGCATGAGTGGTGGCGCGGTCGAGCTCCAGGGCAGACAGAGGAGTCGGGGTCTCTCTGCATTGCTGCCAGCTCCGCTGACAAAGCACGGCAGCATTGCAGCAGCTCTGACTCAGAGGTGGCCACAAAAGACTGCATTTTGCTGCAGCTGGATGGGTCCCCACAGCATGGAGCTGAGAAAGGGAGGAAGGCACAGGCCTGAACACGGACACGGCGTACTGGGGGGAGAGACGAGATGAACCTCTGGAACTGGACATTTGTGAGTGCTCTACGGGCCAGGGATGGGGCCTCACAAGGAACATCGTCCCCAGCTACTGAAGGAGCTGGCTCGGTCACTGCAAAGTGGGTAGGAAGACTGGCTTCTTCCTCTCTGCCCTTCAGCCCAGGCTAGGTACTCAGCATGTGCCTGACCTGGAGCACATAAAGAGTCACCCTGCTGATGGTTTGCCTCCCTGGCATTCGGGGTGGACTCCAATACCTTGCTGAATGGGGCCTCCGTGAAACATTTCATCTATGGGCTAAACAGCCAACTGAGTCACTACCCTGTGACCATCCGTGGGAACTGCCACCCCTGTGTAAATCCTTGTTCTCCCCAGGGAACTTCTGTGCCAAAAATCATTGGCAAAGGCTAGCTCAGACTGGCTAGGTCTTACAGCAAACACCGGCCTCTCATTTTTAAACCTGTATCTCACGTGCTTCCTTGAAAGCCCTGGTGCAGCTGGAGCAGAGCCTGTGAAGCTGAGCAGACGGATGCACTTTATACAGGTATGAGCAAGGGCTAAACATGTCACGTGTGTGCTGCACACATGCCCTGCAGACAGGGTTAGGCATGCCTTTCCCTAAAGAATGAAAGAGAAAAGCACATTACTTGGCCCAGGTGTACGGAGAAAGAAACTAAGCAAACCTCAAGTAATGCAGAAGTATGGATGCTTATCCAGGATGAGCCCAACTGAAATCCAAGCTGCTGTGGCCTATGTAGGACCTAGCGCTTCCCATCTGACCTGAGCTGGAACGCCCGACTCTAACCATCTCAAGTACCGGGGAAGTTCAGGTACCAGCCCATCTCCACCTCATCTTCATGCTTTGCATTTTCTGAGGGCCATGGAGCATTATGTCTCCCGTAAGACAGCTAAAGATCATCAGCCCCCTGTGACAGATGGGGAAACTGAGGCACGGAGAGGTGACATCACCTGCCCAAGGCTAGCAGCATGTGAGGGGAGCCGTTTGGATAGGAATGGAGGATTTCCTGCCTGCCAGTCCCACAATCAGGTGACCAACCCATGATTTTCGTTAGTGCCAGCTGGGCAGGGGGAGCACGGAGCACAGAAAGGAAGAGGCAGAGAGGGGAAGAACAGTCTATTAAAAATGGAAACTTCTTGCAACTTTTTCAACCAAAATGGTTTCCGGTTTGGTCTGAGCTGTTTGGACAGGATATGATTTTATCTGAGCAGATGTGGCATAAATGGAGAACACGCACGCGTAACGTTTCTAATCCAGCCACGCACATATGTACACGCTCAGATTTAGGTAAGTGCTTCAATCCCACTGACATCAGCACGTGCGTAGAAACTGTGGGCAGTGCAAGCTGGCAACGAGCCGACAGCGATCAAGCACAGAGTGAAAGGTGAGTGCAGCGCACTTGGGAACGCTCCCTGCGTAACAGGGATGTCACCTTTCAGTCCGTTTCTATGCTGCAGCTTCACAGTGGTGGGGCTAGCCCCCTCCTACACCTGTCACCAGGATGAGAACGCACAGCACACCTGCACTGGGAGGCACACTTACTCCAGCTTTTTCACACTTTGCGATAAACTCAAAGATGGCCTTGAGTGGCTGGAGAGTTCACAGCAGCTCCCAAGCCACTTGGGGAGACCATGCCCGTATCTCCAAAGGTGGATTAGGAGCATGGCAGGCTCTGAGTGTGAGACACGAGTGATTTTGCTTGTTTTGGAGAGGGCTGGAGCAGCCGGATGAACGTCCTGGGAAATGCCGTGCTGCTTTTGCATGGAGCTGATCCCCATTTGTGTGCCCCGATTCTCAGTCCTACTACATCATTGCACTAGGGAAGTCTGTACATAGCAGCCAGCTGTCAGAGATTAAAAAATACAGTGTGGGCAGGGAAAAAGGTTGCTGGGAAAAGTGATAGGATCAGAGGAATCCAGCTAATTGGCATGTTCCCTTAACTCCCTCCATCCTCCTGGCCCTCAGGGCAGCTGTTCAGACAAGCCTTGTGACAGCGCTTGGGCTCCAATGCGGAAGTGGGGAAGAGGGATCCCCTGTTCAGGCACCTGTGGGGGAGGCTAAGGGAGAGCTCCCCCGTGTCAAACGACTCTGTCCCTACTACGTGCGCAGTGCCAGAAAGCCCTGCATGGGGCTCATCGTGAGATACCCCCCGGCTGGAAACTTTACACCCGTCCTTCGCCAGTCTGTCAGCCTAGGTCCAACTTGACCAGTGACGGGAGCAGGAGGATGCCTGATGCAGGCACACCATGTGTTTGCAGGTACATCTGCCGCTCCCTGATCGCTCCATGCCACCATCCTGCCAGCTGTCGGAGACCCCGTCTCCTGCCTGCAGAGCCTCCATGCGTGCCTGCTTACCAACCTCACGGCAGCCAACAGCACGCCAGCAGGTGCACATGGGGGGAGCATGGGGCTATGCCCAGGGCAGCCAGTCACTCAGTAAAGCACCTTACCCTGGTACGGCATGCGGGGCCCCAGCTGTGGTGGCACCATGTGAAAAGCGAGGGGGAGAGGAGCAGGCGCTGCAGCTCCTTTGACAAGAGACTGGTGTGAGCGGTGGGATTGTGAGGCCAGCTGGAGGGCAGCCTGCGGCAGAAGAGTGCCCTCCAGTCTCTTCCTGCTAGATTCAAATGCTCTGCGGATGAGTCTGGTGGCAGCATGTAGTCCTCTCCTTCCTCGGTGCTTTGATCTCCATGGTGATGAAGGGAAGGAGACGGGTTTAAAATATACTCTGCCTCCTGTTCTTCCCTCGACCTGGGAGAGACAGAGAGAGAGAGACAGGTCAGAAAGGCTAGAACCCAAGTGCTTTAGGCTCATCAGCCCACCCTACCACAGCAAGGGGAGGCATCTCCCTCTAGGGGCCATTTCAGGTGCAGAGACCTATGAACCCACTGCAGCTCCAGCTCCCGACGGCTTGCGAGCCCTCCACCCCTGCATGCTTGAGAGTGGCATCACTCAATGGGCAGCTTCCCTGCCTCATTCCTGGGTGCCCTGCATGACAGGTGAGAGCAGCCAGGGCTGTGCCTCTTGGCAGTGCCCTCAGGAGTCCTGGGACAGCAGCACAGATGTGCCCAGAGTCTCTGGAGGCACAAAGGGAGGGAGTCACTTGCTGCAGAAGTCACAGAGTGGGTCCATGACAGGGCTGGGAAGCAATCTCACGAGCCCCGCTGCCCAGCCCTTTGCTCTGGTCATTGCATAGAAACAATGCCTGCTCTGTCACTTGGAATATTAATGTCTAACCAGCTGAGCGAGGGGCCTTTCAGGCTGGTTCACCCCCCTGGGGCCAAAGTGGGGGGAGAGGTTGATGTGAAGACTTTCCTGCTAATCCAGCTCAGACTTCAACTGGACTTTCCCCTCCGATCCTCCCAACAAGATAAGCAATGGGCCCTGAATGGCTGCTTTGTGGCGAAGGTGACAGCAACTTGGCATTCCCTGCCCTGCATGGGAAACCTGCTGTGACACCTGTCGCCCCGGGCACCGCACCTGGGCACGGCCCAGGGTCATCACTGCAGTGACACGTCGACTGAGTGCAGGCATCACTACTTGGGCGCAGCTGGAGCAATAGGGCAACAGGGCTGCTCCCGGCAGCCTCCTCGCTCTGGCTCTGCTGCATGGAGATGCTGGAGCTGGCTTCAGCACCCGGAGGGGCAGCGGCACAGAGCTGTGCTCGTTTGCCTTCCTGCTCAGCAGGGTAAATTAGCCTGCACGCAGCTCCAGACTGTTCTGGCACCTGGACCGACTGCATTTCTATCGAGAGTGCTGCTCTCCCCTCAGGACCCAGCCCAGGGGTCACAGGTCCTACCTGACTGCTGAAAGACTGAGCCTCGGTAGCCTGGGTCCTTTTGAAGCTGTATTTCCTTCAGAGTGAAGATGGAGGCAGCTGGGCAAAGGGAGAGAGAGGAACAGCTGGGAGTTAACTCAACGCCTGGATGAGCTGTTTCCAGAGGTAGCCAACACATGCATGCAGTACTGTGCCCTCACAGCAACGCCTTGCTCCCATATGCCCAGAATGTCTCACCCTGCAATGGCAAGATCCTCCACCTCACCGTGCCCACGTGCCAGCTTCTGCCCCCTCACTATGCAAATCTCAAGCCTCAGGAGCACTCATTTCCTTTCTCTAAATATAGAGAATGGGGATCTTGAAGGAGACATGGGCTTAAAAGCCCAGCCCTTAGGAGGGTAGGAGGCCCTTACCCTCTCTCTGGGCATGTCTGCACGTGCATTAACGCGCCAGAATTGTGCAGCATTAAGTTCAGTACCTGTAATAACAGGTACTATGAAGGTGCTGTAACCAGTGTTATAGCACAGTGCACGTGTTTTACCTGATGCTAATGTACAGTCGACTAATTCTCCTGTGCTTTAGCGTATTAGCACGGCTTTTGCCATGACATGCTGGTGCACAGTAGAATTAGTCTACTGCACTTTTAGTGTCTCATGTAGATGCACCCCCTGTGTCCTACTAGCTGGTACATAAGAGAAGGGGTAACTCAGGCAGTGAAGGCCCAGCAAGCTGTGGTCATTGCCCCAGGGAAAAGGGCCACATGCAGCCTCCCACAAGGGGAGGATGGCTTTCCCATAGGAAAATTAAAAACGCCTGAAATGAGAGAGTGCAGGAAGCTGGCACTCCCTAGCTTTCAGCCTCCTGGTTTCTGCCAGCTGGAAAAATCAACTGCTGATGACACTTTCCCTGAAAGCCCAGTATTTACCTTTCAAAGCAAATCCCATTAGCATGGATGGGCACTTACTGTCAGGCAAGAGGTGCACACGTTCCCCCAGGCTCTTGAAGTACGGGTGTCGTAAGGCTGCTTCAGCCGAGATCCGGCTCTTGGCTTCGTACTGCACAGACCACAGAGAAAGGAGATTACTTGGGCTCGGCGCACGTCATTGCACATGGAGCTTGCCGTTATGTGCGCTGGGTGTGTAAGACACAACTCATGTGTACACGGCATTACGTGAAGCCGGTCTCATTACTTGCTGTGTTTGTGTCGGTACATATTATGTGTGTGAGGTACACTGAGTGTGTATGTGCAAGCAAGTACATATGGCTGGCTGCGTGTGTGCATGTGTGTGCAGGCGCCTGAGCAGTGACAGCTTCTGTGGGGGGGCAGGTGAGCAAGTAACGACATATGCTCTGTGGGTGGGCACGCGTGTGCACGCAGAGGAACCGTCGCATATGTCTGTGCTTGCCGTTCCATATGCTGTTTGTGTCAACACCTCCGGTGGGTGGTTGCATAATCTTTAGGTGTGCAGTGGTTTCATGGGTTGTGTCATTATATCCTCTCTGTGTGTGCACATGGGGAGAGCGGGGTGAAGGGAAGAGGGAGACCAACCCTCCTCCATTTCAATCACAGCTCCTCCATCGGGCACCCCTATCAGGACATGTCTATCAGGGCTCAGGGGAGTCAGAGCTGCTGCTGTGGGAATGCCAAGTTGTGCGTTGCCGGGCCAGGATGGATGGATTAAGACAAGTGGCGGTTGAAAGGCAAGACTGTGCTGCTGAGTAAACCTAGGGAAGCGGAACAAGGAACTTGGCAGCAGAGAAAAGATGAGCAACCAGACTCTGGCGATGAGAGGCTGATTCAGAGTTTGGGACCTCAAAGCACTTTTATGGGAGGGCAGGTACAAGCAGACAGCAGCACGTCTCCGGGAGCCAGCGAGAGGGAAGATGCCTCCACCTGAAGTTGGGACAGGCACTTTGGACACCGATACAACCCAAGAGGAGGAGGTGTCTACAGTCCTTTGTGCTTCCCGGCACTAACACCCGTGATGTTTTGCAGTTGCCTCCAACAGCACCATGATTAGGCCCTACAACACCGGCATGCCAGCTGGCTGGAGCAGCGGCAATACCCGCTCCCCGGCTGGCTCCTCTGACCCCAGGCCCCTCTCTGGGGGCCAGCTGCCTTTCCTTTCATTAACAGCCATGACCCCAAGCTCTGACTCTCTGGGGCATGTCTCCAGGCTCGGGGATGAGGGATTTCCAGCTGCAGCTGGCTATGCATCTCACTCAAAACCCAGGTGAGGAGGACAGTGACCTGCAGGTGAAGCTAATGGGAAGCCAGAAGGGGGTAGGAGATGAGAAGCCCAGAGCTGCCAGAGTCCAACCCCGCTGCTCTTGGGTTGGGCCGCCAGGCTACTTACCAAGAGAAGGTTTGTCAGCAGATCGATTCCTTCTGTGTCCAGCCTTAAAGAGAAGGAGACTGTTACTGCATCCAAAAGGCTCTCCCGTGGGCACAGCCAGGCTCTACCAGGGTGCAATGGGGGCACGGTGGGTTGGCACATGCCTTTCAAAGCAGCAGAACAGCCTGCTGGGCATGAATTTCTGAAACGACCAGGGCTGGATAAGCCTAGATAAGCCCTGCAGCCTGCTTTTGCTTCCGGGCTGTGTCGGGGAGAGTCCTTCCAGGCAGGCCTTATGTACGTTAGCCTAAATTCATGGCTTCCATGCCACCTGACCCCAGTTGTCTTTCCTGCCTAGTGCGGGGGGCTGGACCCGATGATCTTGCAAGTCCCTTCCATAGCCCTTACAATCTGTGAATCTATATACTGTGGCATAGAAAAGGAGGCCTGACCCGACCCCGACTGTGCTGCCGCTGGGGATCAAACACTGACCCTCCATTTCCATGGCTGTGTCCTCCCCGCTCCCTAGTGTCAGAGTGAGCCTGGGATGAAACCCCCCAGCCTAGTCCCCGCAGCGTCCCGCTGCTGGCCAGCACATGCCTGCGTGCAGTGGGAGTCTCAGTACCTCGGGGCATGGTTGATCAGTGGCTGGGCACGGTACTGGGTGAAACTGTACGCCTTGAACTCCTCGTTGGATGTGATTCCAGGCCAGGAGTCTTCTGTAGGGGTCCCTGGGGGAGAAAGGATGGTTTGGACACATCATCTTCATCACACCATGGGGAGCTGCCAGTCATTGCCCTCCATTACCCTAGCATGGAGGAGCCCCTCGTGGAAACGATCTCCCTTGGAAGAGACCAGCGAATCCTCCCCCCACTCTCCAATGCTACTGCAAGGTTAGAAAACCCTCGAGGAAGGATCTGGTTCTCTCTCCATTCCCACAGGGCTGAGGGCATGGGACTGGCAAGCCAGTCTAAGCTTTCAGCTAAGGCTGTTTCTCATGGCCTTGTTACATGATAATATTGAGCTCCTGGAGCTCTTAACCCCTGCATTGTCCGTGCGTTAACACCTTAAAGTGGCTTAAAGCACTCGTTATGTGGATCAAAGTTATGCCGCTCCAGGACAGGATTATCTCTGGTCCACACTACCCAGCTCCTGTTCTGTGACGTGGCCACTCCTCACGGATGTGCGGCTCCAGTTGAAAGCGTGACCCCTCCAAACTCCAAGCTAGCACTAAGCTGAACAACATTTGTGAGGCTCACAGAGGAAGGTGTGCCAAGGCCCTCGCCCTGTCTCCATCTTCCTCAGTCAGCCATTGCCCTCTAGCGGAAGTTAGAGAGAAGACTCACCCAGCAGCCGGAAGATTAAATGCAGCTCTTCTTTCACGGTGGACCCAGGGAACATGGGCCGTCCTGTGACCATTTCATAGTGGATGCAGCCCATGCCCCTAAGCGAGCAGCGGAGGCATTGATGTTAGAGATGGAAAAGACCTCTGAGCGCACCCCCCTGCCCTCGCGCAATGCAGGTTGGTTCCTTACAGTCACAGCCACCCGAGGGAGCTCCTGCCTGTTCTTTGGGACATTGCTGCTACTGCTTATCATCTGCTCAAAAAGGCCCTGATGCGCAATCAAGGAGCCTGCTCCAAAGAGCTTATGACCTGGGAGACCTAGAGTGTGCGCATAAAGCAGGGCAGGCAGCATCCCTGTGCTGGCGTTGCTGCATACAGCAGCCCAGCGTGCGTGGCGCTGCATGGAGAGATGAAAGGCAGTGATGATCCCCTGCACTGGAGAGGTGGGAATGCAGGAATGGGGTCCAGTGCTCGTGCCCAGCCCTGCCAGCCCCCACAGCTCACCACATATCGATGGGCGTGGAGTACTCGGTCGAGCCCAGCAGGACGTCCGGAGGCCGATACCACAGCGTGACCACCTCATTGGAATACGTCTTGGTAGGGACTGACTTGGCTCTGGCTAGACCTGGGGGTGGAAGGGATGTCTCTGTGTCTTCTCCTACACTGCAGTGTAGTTCTCACCAGCAGCACCACAGGGAAATAAGTGGGCAGAGGAGTTCCCCTCCCCTTACGCATCTCCAGGCAGTAGCTGAGTTTGGAGCGGCAGGTCTGGAAACCTGGCTGCTGCATTTAAGTCCTTCAATCAGCCCACAGTGAGCAAAGCTGATGCACTGACCCGCCCCCAGCACAGTCTGAGCGGACTGGGATGGACCATAATTTGGGTCTCCTGTGCCCCTCCAAGTGGCATGCATGCACCGCTGTCGGCACACGCTGAGCCCAGCCAGGCCCGCGCTCCCCCAGCCCTGCTCACCAAAGTCTGCCAGCTTCAGCTCCCCCCTCTCGTTGATGAGCAAGTTCTGCGGTTTGAGGTCGCGATGCAAGATCTTCCTCCGGTGGCAGTACGACAGACCCCGCAGCAGCTGGAACATGAAGATCTTGGGGAGGGGGGAAGAGGGAGGAGAGACAGGTTCAGCGCGGCAGGGCAGTGAGGGTCTGGCATTCGGTTCGGCAGAGAACAGCACAAGGCAGCTTCAGGGCCCCTCTGGAGGAAAGACTTTCTCTAGGGTTGGGATGAAACCCTGCAGCTTGCAGCTCTGGACTCATTTCACAACACACATAGGCTTCAGTGATGGACTGAGGAGGATCAGAGCCAAGGTGGCTCCAGCTTGGAGGGCAGGAGCCAGATTCTCACCGACTGCACGGCCCCTTTACACAAGCAGCACAAAGGGCCCTTCACAGTGTAAGCCATGCATTTGTAAATTATGTTAACATCTAACTTAAGAAGCCTGTTGCTGCCAGGGAGAGAAGAGGGGTGTACAGGGGCCTTAGTAGCAATGAGAACCCGGGTCTATGAGTCTCTCTTTGCTTTGTCTTTTGCTTATGCAATTAAATGTAGCTCTTAAATCAGTTTCCTCAGCTGCCTCCAGCTAAACGCCAGGCTCGATACTACACTAAGAGCGGGGCAGAGTCTCTGGTGCGACTCTCTAAACGTGATCAGCAAGACGCCGCGAGCGAAACAAAGCTGTCCAGGACAATATGGATGAGAGGCACGACAGACAGATGCTTCTTCTGCTTATCAGGGATTCAGATGCGGGTCTGAACATAGTGTGCAAAGGACACAAAATCGTTTGAGGCTATTAGGACCTCAGAAAAACAGCAGGGAGCTTCAGAGGGCTCCAGCCAGGTGCTGCCACGGGAGATCAGACTCGCACATGAGAAATACAAGGGGATGCACACGAAAGGGAAAAGCTGGACAATGAGCATGCATATCCAAGCCTGTGATGCCCCTTGTCCCTCCTTGGCTTGGTTCCCCGTGTGCTCAACAAGTCAGCCACAGGACACCGAGTCCCTTGGGAGCTTCTGACACTCTCCTTCCTGACAGCCTTGCTCTCACCTTCACGTTGTGCGTGCTCATCAGGTTGCCGCAGTTGTCCAGGTACTGTTTGAGGTCATTGTCCTGCAACAACAAGGGTGTACCATGAGTAAGCATCTATGTTCAGATGGACCCCAAGCCAGCTCCAGGCACCAAATGGGACTTCTCTGGGGTGGGCAGGATGCTGGTAGGAACCCAGAGGGTTAAAGCCCACTAACAACTCTAATGTGCCCACAGCATGTGTGGCCAGAGGGAGCTTTACCATCATCTAGCCTGACCTCCTGCATGTCTGGCCAGAGGATCTGGCTAATTTTGCCCCAACCTAACCTTTGTACAAGCCACAGCAGGGGTTTGAGGATAGGCCTGCAAGGCCTTTCCCCATCGGCCACCCAGGCACATGTGAGCTCAGAGAAGGCGTCTAGGTGTTTGAAGACCTATAGGCAGCTAAGAAATGGAGGGGAAGCCAGGCAACCCAGAACCTGCTGCATGCCACAATGTCTGCTAAGGCAGCTGGTATTGCTACCAAACCCACCCGGTTGGGGCTGACTCTAGCACGTGAGCGGATGATGAGCTGGGACACGGGGCTGGAAAAAAAGCTGCCTTCCTCCTTTCAGTTAATGGCCCAGACATTGCAATGGGCTGTGTGCAGAGGTCTGTGGGTGAATGGGTCTAACCTGTGTTTTCCAGGAGCTCAGTGCAAATAATGAGAGGTGATGAAAAATCAGGAAATATCGGATAAAATTAGTGGGAAACTTTCCCTGTTTTTCACTAATTGGCTTAAACCTTTCAAGTAGGTAAAATATTGCAATCCTCCCCACTATTTATCTTGCACCCAGCTGCAGTGAGGCACGAGCTCCCTCACTCCGGGTCATAGGAGGAAGGGGGCCAGTGCAGCTCGGCAAATCCCACCCCGAGGCACACAGCCCATCCACTCACCAGGTACTCGAAGACGAGGGTGAGGGATCGCTCTGTGTGAATGATATCATGCAGGGTCACAATGTTTGCGTGCTTCAGGTTCTTCAGGAGGGAGACTGCAAAACAAGGAGATGGCATTAGCCATTAGAAACCCCCGCGGCCATGCTTTGTTGCCAGAGGGTAGGCTGGGCTGGCTTGCTCCGACACCCTCATGAAAGGGCATCATTGCCTGGCAAATGAAAGAAGGTCCTGGCTAGCTGGACTGCCCATTCACTCGGGCTCAGCAATAACTCTTCATGGCTAAAGGCACCCTCTTTTTCATGCTTGTGAGGCCCTTCCACTCAGAAAATGCCCACTGCTCCTTACCCTCCCTTATAGCTGTGCAGGGGGCCCCTTCTTCATGCTCCAGACGGATCTCTTTCAGAGCCACCAGGTTCTCTGTCAGCTTGCTGCGCCCCTTAAAGACAGTGGCATAGGTGCCCTGTGGGAAAGAGAGAGACACGGAGCTTGGGCACTCATGTCCAGAGGCCGGTGCGTGCCTTTACTTTGCCAGCACAAAGAGGAAAACCTGCATGCAGAGGAGCAATTGGAGCAGCGGGTGACTCATGGCAGAGGGCTTGGAGAATGCAACATCTGGTCCCGACCCAGATCCCCGGGTCCAAACACACCCAGACCTTGAGGAAGCCTGGATCTGGGCTGCCTTTTGCAGTTTGTCTGCTAAGCCCTCGAAAGGATTTCTGCTTACCTCGCCCAGCTTGTCCAATTTAACGTAGGTTTCCAGCTTCCCAAATCCGATATCTGACTGCAAAGAAAAGGGAAGAACGTCAGCAGGACAGATCCTCTCCTAGGAAAGATGTAACCCCACAGCTGAAGGTCACATCAAGGAGGCCAGACAATAACAGCTTTGGGAGAGATAAATCAAGTCAGGTGTTTGCAAGCTGGGGCGGGAGCTCTAGATACACAATGTACATCACTGTCTGCTGGAGAAGTGCAGCCATCTAGGCAGCCAATCAATCAGAAAGAAACACCATGGACTGGGCGCTTAAGAAAAACAGATGATACCTGCTTCCCCCATCCATGGAACAATGACGCAAGCTATTAACTTCATCGTCGCAGGGAGCCTTGTTTGCTGCAGTGTGGATGCGGCTCGATATATTGCCTCCCAGTGCTCTGGCTCCTGTCATGCCTTCCTCATTCTCTCCGCCTGTCCCTGCCTCACCCATCATCTTGGCATCTGAGCAGCCACGTCTGCATTCAAGGCTGGCTGGATTTTGAGGCCCCTTCCAGCAGAGACATTTAATGTGCACGGAAAAAAATCATTCCCTACCCACTGGCTGTTACCAGAAGCCGTTCCCTCCATGCCAGGGGCTCTCCGAATCAAGTGCGAGAGAGGCACTTGGATGGTTACTCTTCCCAGGGTCGTGGAGACTCACACTCTCATTTACTCAGTCATAAGCAGGACAGCCTTGGGGTCAAAGGGCTGAATTAGGACCCAGGAGATCAGGGCTTAATTCCCTGGGACTTGGCAGAGTCCTGCAGCAGGTCTGGGATGATGTAGTTGGGGCTGGTCCTGCTTTGAGCAGGGGGTCGGACTAGATGTGACCTCCTGAGCTCCCCTCCAACCCTACCTTTCTATGAAGTCGTCGAATTGCCCCATGGCTTTGTTTCCCACCGCACCCTGGTTGAGAAGCATGGGGCTACCACGTCTGAGCAGCCCTGACACAACAGAGCTCCAGCCTTGGTGGGGTATGGAGGTGCCCTGCTTTGTGCTGTATGTCTGCCTTCAGCAGGTGGTGCTGGAGGGACAGCTGTCAGGCAGCCAGCGGCGTGTGCGGAGGTGCAGGCATCAGCCCTGGAGGAAGGCTGCCTTGGGACCAGAGGAGAATATTATTTCCTATTTCATTCAGAATAAAGACCCATGGGAGCTGCCTGGGAAGTGATGCATGTGTGTTGCTGGTGGCAGAGGCTGGGGATGATCATTGATAATCCCCAAGGATTGTGATAAGGGTGGCTAGCCCCCACTCTGCTCCCCACTGGGGGAATTGGTTCCTTGCCTGCTCTGCCCTGCCCTGGAGAAGCTGTCTCCAGAGCACAGTCCTGCCTCCACGGCCCATATGGTCAAAGACCTCCATTATCACCCCTCCCCACCCCATTCAGTGCCAGAGTGTTTGAATGACATGGAGCTAGGCTGTTGACCTGGGCTGGGACCCACACCTGCATTTCCCTCCAGCCACCAAATGTGGAGGGGGGTAGCTTGGCTGCTGATGTAGGGCGCGTTGGACCTGATGACTGGGGCAGTAAATGGTGCCATTAACTCTACTTCCAGTGCCCTGAACACAGAGATGCTGAGTATGTGCCTCCCCCTTCCCCGCACTTGGGAAGAGGGCTGTCACCCAAAATGCTTAAAACTTTCCTCATGTCCATCATCTTAGGTTCACACCCCCGGCAAAAATAAGTCAGCACCTATGCCTGAACAAACCCACCCGCCTTGAACGGATGTGTTGATAGTTTGTCTCGCTCAGCTGGCAGGGATAATAACAGCGGGTAATGCAGACTGAATGTGATCAGAGGCCCTATAAACTTCATGACTACGGCGCCTTCTACAGGAACATTCATTATTCATTTACAGGGTTATGAATATTAATGATACATTTGCTTCTTCTATGCATATTTTATTCACCAGGCAGAAAAGCCCGTGCAGGTGAATGTGAGTTACTGGCTGTCAGCCAACAGCCTCCCTCCCGGCCGAGAAAGTTCCTACTCAATGGGACGCAGCCTGGCCTATCTGCAAAGAAGGCCCTGGGCTCTCACTCTTGTACATGCTGTGTTGCAGCATGCATGAGGGATTTGCATGCCAGGGCTGAGCATGTACACATGTGTGGAGTGCACGCCTCTGGGAGTGCAGGCCCAAGCAGAATGAGCATTTATATGTGTGAGTGTAGGCTTGTGGGTACAGGAAGATAAGGATTCACATGCCTTGGTGTGGACTTTGCACAGCTGGGAGCACTCTGACGGGTGCATAGAGGTATAGGTGTAGAGGCAAAGACCTGGCATGTGTGAGCAAGGACCCCAGAGTGTGTGGACACGGATGGGCATGGCCACATGCAGGGCCTGGGCTCCCAGGTGTGATGAGCCGGGCATGACCCTCCCCTGCCCAGATCCCCGGTGTGGTGGGACTCACCAGGGATGCCCGCCGAGACATCCTGCTGAGGGGCTTGGGGAACTCGGGGCTGTGCATCTGCAGCTTCTGCAGGAACTCCGGGGGCAGGCGGATGTCCACAGGGAGGGAGAGCCGCTTGCTGACGTCCTGCAAGCCGGGCCGGCACAGAGTGAGCTTTCCGGCCAAGAACCTGCAGACCTGTGCCCTGAACCTGGGAAGCTTGCCCAGCCATCCCCACCGCATGCCACGTGGCTACCCCCGCTGTGAGAACAGCAAAGTCGCCCCTCCGTGCACTCCCTGCCCATGCCAGCCATCCCACCTCCATACACTGCCTGGCCCCAGCCCCAGCCCCAGCCCCAGCCTGTACTTGCCTCCATGGAGAAGCGGCGTTGGTTGTTGTTCCGGTAGCGTACAGTTGTCGGGGACTGGCCCTCCACCTCTGACGGGGAAATGGAGGTCGGGTCCGCCTGGAAGTCCCTGCCCAGCTGCAGGTGCCCGTGAGCTATGTCTGATGGGAGAGAAGGGAAAGACTGAGTGCCTGGAAGGTGTCACGAAGGCAGCACTTCTCAATAGCCAGGGCAACCACTGTCTGCTGCTGAGTCCAAGCATGGGGCTGGGAGCAAAGGACTCGAGACCTAACACTGTTCCCCTCTCTGGCCCTGGGTAAGTCTCTTCAACCCCTACCTTCTACACCATATCTTTCCATGCTTTAGAAGAAAGCCTGCATCTTCACCCCATTTTACAGATGGGAAAACTGAGGCACAGAAAAGGAAATGGATTGTCCAAGGTTACCTGGGAAGGGAGCCCAGGTCTCTAAAGGCCCCCTCCAGTGCTCTGTCCATTAGCCCACACCCCACACAGCACCAGTGAGGCCAGCTCTTCATCCTGGGCATAGGAAACTGGCTCTGATGCTAAGTCACCACAACCGGTGTCACATGCCATATGCAGTATGGACTGCCTTAGTCCCCCCCAGGCCCCTGGAGCCAACCAGGACCCCGCCGTGCAAGGTGCTGCGCAAACACAGAGCGAGAGATGGGTCCTGGACCACAGAGCGAGCCAACAGCTCCTGGGGCTCTCACTCCTTCCAGAGGCCCAGGGGTTTGGGATTAAAGAAGTCAGACAGACAGTCTTTTACTGCAGCAACCAGCCAGCAAACCCTGGGAGAGGATGCCATCTCAGCAAGTTACACAGCGCTGAGAAATGGCTCTACAGCACCCGAGTGCTCTCGAAAGCCGAGCAGTCTGAACAATGACTCCTCCCGTGGGATTACCAGTGTGAAGCACCATCAAGCCCAAAGAGCCATGAAAGGAGCAGGAAATCAGAACAATACAAGCCATAAAGCTCTCCCTGGCCTCCAGTGTGAGGTTTGCACTTGAAGCCCCTCGGTCTGTAATTAATGGCTGGTTGCTAGGAAGCTCCCGAGCTCAGAGACGCAGACAGCAGCTCAGCAAAACATCTGAGCAAGTTCAGCACAGGTCACCCGCGTCCCGGTGAAATAGCTCCTCCAAATTCACCAGGGCGCTGCTTCCAGGAGAGGCACTCAAACAGCCTTGTCTACTAGGCAGACACCTTCCCAACCAAGCGTAACCCTTTAAAAAGGAGTCAAAATACTCTCGAGGGGACAGATGAAGACACCTGACTCCTAAGAAAAGGCTTTCAGCAAACCTGGGACAATGTTTTTGCACCCTTGGTACCTCAGTAGCTGCAAGAAAAGTGCCTTAGACAAAACTCTAGGGCTTTGGGCAGGGCTCGGTGTTAATACTGATTATAATTAGGTACCTGCCCCATGTGAGAAACTACAGATGCTACAAATGCCACACTCAGATGCTATCAGGCGCTATGAGCATAGGGGAGGAGGAGAGAAGGAGCAAAGCACCTACAAGATCACACGGTTGTAGCTTTAGGGACGTGGTATGCATGAAGACCAGGCAATGCCAACCTGGTCTCTTTGGTTCAACCGCCTTTCTTGCTCCTGTTCTGGTTATGTGTCTAGAGGTGGGATTCGCTGGCCTGAAGTTATCCTATGAGATCAGAACAGCCCCATCCAGACTGCGCTTCAGGGGTATCTGGACCCAAAGCCTCTCTAATTGCCCGCCCTGCCTAGCTCCAGGACTTGGGAGCACCCCCTCCGTGCCCAGGCCTGGTGGCATTTGACCCGGTGACCACTACAAGCCGGACCCGATGCGTTCTACTTGCCCCAGGAGATGAGACAGTCGATGGCGGCTGCGTCCAGCCACACACCACAGCCGAGCAAGGGAAAGCAAAGTGTCAGCACAGGAATTCCTGCGTGGGACCAAAACCACAGCCCAGGGCAGCCCCGGCCCCTCCTGCTGCTGACATGCCACTTCCACTAGCTGAGAGCCGCGCGGACCCAGCCTGCTGCCGCGGCTGCAAACGTGGATGTCACTGTGCTGACTCCAATCTGTTCTGACAGCTGGGGATGATCTCACTGCCGGGCACTGGAGCGAGAGCGCCTGCTTTCACAGGGCGCGGATCGGAGCTGCGCCTGGCTTGAGCTGCCACGTTGAGGGGATGAGGGGTGAGATGCAGCAGATGAATGACCCAGAGAGACGTGTCTGGGGGCAGGGGTAGTTTCCTGATACCACTGCTGCTGGAGCGAGACCCTGAGGGTGCAGGGGGATGTCTGCGGGGTGGATTCCCGACCAGAGCTTGCACAAGGCAGGGAACAGCCTTCCTCCCACAGCTGCCTAGAGAAACTGCATCCCGCTTCTGAGGGCTTCTCTGCCAGGGGACAGCCAGCAAAACAAATCCAAAGTAAATCAAGGCTGGAATTAAAGTGGATCAGTTAAATTACATTAAACCTCTGTGTGAACAGCCTCATTCAGGTTTAGAGGGGCCTTAATTTGGTTTTTCTTAATTCTCTTGCAAAGTAAATTAAACTAAATGGAATTAAGGCTATGCTGAATGTGTCTACATGGGATGTAATGCTCGCTAACCAACCCGTTTAATTTGGATTAATTTTCCTGAGCGCAGAGAAGCCCCAGGTCCTTGCAAGCAAGGCAGCCCGTACCAGAAGGAAGCTAGCCAGCAGCAAGTCATCTTGTGGTTCAGTGCGTGCATCCACAACCCTTAACCCAGCCCGCAGAACCCAGTGGCAGAAACCTGGACAGGTGCACGGAGACTTCATTGCTCGCCTGCAGGGATCAGATCTGGGGGCTCCAGTTGTGAACACCGGGGGATGCGCCGCTTCTGCTGACGGAGAACTCTTGTCCCGGAGAGCACGTGTCAGAGGGTTACAGTCCTTTAAACACTGCCTCTGCCAAGTGCACTCCAGGGACGCCAGGTACAGATGCTTCAGGATCCCAGATCCCATGTTACAAAGGTGTCTGTGGGCCCGGGTGGTGGAGAAAACCTTCCAGATGCAAAATGAGTAGGACCTGAAGGTAGGCCTGAGCTTACAGATAGCCAGAAACGACGGCACCCTGGGACCCTACTGCCAGCTCCCCCTTCCTCCAGCGGCACCAGTCCCCTGGTGACACTGCAATGGGACGTGGGAGAGCGCGAAGCCCGTGGGAGCTGCAGGAAAGGGGCTGCAAAAGGAAGAGAAGAGTCCTGAAGCTTGAGGAAGGAGGGGAGAAAGGAGGAAAGAAGGGAGCAGGGTGATGCTGAAACGTGACAACAGGAGTGTATGCCCTAGGCTGCAATTAGTTCACAAAAGCTTTATTCTCCCTGGCTCTCTGTGCACACCTCCCAGCAATGCCAGGGATGGATCTGAGGCCTGAGAGGAGTATGAAGGTCTGAGCATCTATCCCTGCCCCCGTCTCGCAATGGAGGCTGACGTCTGACCTCGCCCCACCCTGAATGAGTTTGATGCCCCCGCGCTAGAGCGGCTCACACACCTCATGCCAGTTCAGCCCACATCTGTGCAGTGGTGAAGAGGACTGCAGACCCGACCAGGCAGCGCTGCGAGGAGTTGTTGCTGCAGCAGCGATGACGCTGGCCCGCTGGGTGTGCCTGGCGTGCGATGGAGATGATGCCAGGGCCCAAGCAAGGGCCTGCTTGATTCTGCTCTGCTTTTCATGTGGCTTACAGTGGGCCCTGACACCCGGGGAATAATGAGGCTGCCTGGGATATCAAAGCAAATTAAAGCGAGACCGCAGACACTGCAGCTGCTTTTGATGAGTCTCCTGCTCTTTTTTTTTTTTATATAAATACATTTAAACATTGCCACTGCCAAAACAAGCTTTGATCTCCCACAGAATGGGGCCAGCACCCTCCGCTGCCTGCCTGAGTTACAACTTTTAATGACTCTGCTAAGTACAAACTCTCTGCTTAAATCGCTATTAAGCTTGCAAGGCCAAGATCCCTCAGATCTTGAATTATCCATCCCCTTTCCTGCCTCTCGCCATTGTTTCTCTCTCTGCCTTGTGTTCTGCATGCCCACGTGGGCTCTGGTTTGAACCATTGCAATTTGGGAGCTATTCTGGGTTTGCAGCCAGTGTGATGAAGCTTTGTCTGCCTTCAGATATCATCCAGGGCAGGAGCTGCCCTGGGGTAAACCCTGGTGTAGACATGATTCACACGCCTGTGGCATGACCTGTACCCAGTAAAATGCCAGGCCCTAATTCTCCCCTGGATTCCAGTCTCGCCTGGTGCTGATGGGTGCTCTGTGGGTGCAATGCCTTTTTTACCCCCTTTTCACTGACTGCATAAGGCAATGGTGAACCAGACCTCAAAGCAGGCCTGGTCGGAGGTGGAAATGATGCAACTAATTCTCCTGGTGCCACAGGAATGACCTGGACTCAACCTCCATGTCCCAGGGTGGAGAAATTTGTCTGAACAAGCAGGATAACACCCCTTTTCCAGCCCAGTACACAGGGAAA